ACTGAGGACAGTGAACTTCCACTATGCATGACATTCCTGTTTGGTCCCCAAGAAGGCTGATTTTTATTTCTATCTGTGTTCATATCATAAGCAGGGGAAAGATCTGTATGACAGAGAAGAGGCTTCGACTTGTTTAAGAGAGCATGGTAACAGTGTGAAATACTGTAACAAAAAATGTCCCTAGACATTTAGATTATTTGATAACCATGATGCTTTTAAAAAAAAAAAAAAAAAAAAAGCAAAATCCTGTTTTTGTTGTTATTTTTTGTTTAACTGCATCATGGTTATCAAATAATCTAAATGTCTAGGGACATTTTTTGTTACAGTATTTCACACTGTTACCATGCTCTCTTAAACAAGTCGAAGCCTCTTCTCTGTCATACAGATCTTTCCCCTGCTTATGATATGAACACAGATAGAAATAAAAATCAGCCTTCTTGGGGACCAAACAGGAATGTCATGCATAGTGGAAGTTCACTGTCCTCAGTATTCCAAATAGAAACATAAATAATTTCTGTCCCAAGAAGAGTGGGATTCACAAGAATTCCAAAGTACCCAGTGAACAAAGCCTCACTTCTGTAATAAACAGAGGCCAAGAAAAGAAGTTGGCCATTTGAGATCCTGTTCTCTACCACCACTTTCAAAGAGTTTTAAATCTGGGGATTCTCTTATCAATGAGAAGAGGCTTCTAATAGAATGCCCCATCATTTTATTTCTCCCAAATTTTAGAAATATATTCACAAAGCAAATGCATGCTGGTATTTCTTCCACTTCTTTGGTTATTTATTAAGGAAGGTGTTCATTGTGCCTGAGTTTAAGAGATGAAGAATTATCATCCTATGTGAAAATACTCAACTTTTATAAAGAGAAGGGAAAATATTTTTTTTTTGTTTGTTTGTTTGTTTTTTTGTCTTTTTTCGTGACCGGCAACGGATTGCAACCCTCAGTGTCGCGCCCGTACCGGACCGGGACCGGCAACGGGATCGCAACCCTCGGTGCTGTGCCCGCCCCTCACTCAGTCAGTGAGCGGGAACTGGTCTGTGTGTGGGATCCGAACCCTCGGCGGGAGCGCCTCCACGCTCCCAAGCGGCGCACTGTAGCAGTGCGCCACCGGGCCGGCCCCCCAGTCATCTTTTTAAAAAAAGGAAAAAGAAAGAAAGAAACTGGAAGGCCGGCTGTATTTCGCTACCCTGTGGAAACCCCGATGCTGCCCACTACACTCCCAGGAAGTTGGTAACCATAGAAAGCTGTAGAAAAGTCAGCCTGAGGCCATCAGCTTCCTATATTTGGAGAAAGCCTGTTCCAAACTCACGTTAACAGAGATTCCGCCTTGGACTCAAGATTATCCAAGAAATGTATCAGTCTTTTCCCCCCACTCTTATCTCCCCAGTCCCAGCACCCTTGGCACAGTACCTCATTACTGCCACCCTGCAGCTGGGCACCTTCAGCCTCGAAAGGCTTTGGGGGCACTTTGCAGTCCTCAGCCTCCTTGTCATCTGGGGGACATGGCTTCAAGGACTGCTTGAGCTTCACACAGAAAGAAGGGCTCTCACTCTGAGAAGGGGGACGAAGCTGGGGCCTCTGGGGGCTATGACTGCCTCTAGGCCCCTGATCCCTGGGGACAAGACCCAGAGTCCTCGAAACTTCCTCTTCCTCCAAGACCATCGGCTCCTTGAGGTGGCTGTTCACATCCCGGGAGGCAGGCATTCCCAGCGCACTCTGGCCACTTGGTGCCTGTCCCACCAAGGTTTTGGGCTTGAAGCTCTGGCAGAGCTCCACAGCTTCTGGCACTCGCAACTCCCTGGCTGCCAGGAGCACCTGATCGCGGTTCCCCGAGGTGAGGGCAAGGTGACCAGTGTAGAAAAAGTCCAACAAGAGGCCAAAGATCTCAGCGAAGCCGGCAGGGAGGACAACACTGCCCCCTGAACCATCACCATACAGACTCTGGAAGAAGTGGCTGCAGCAGGCAAGGACACTCCAATGCGCCTTGAACACAAGGCCCCCAACATCCAGGGTGGCATCGCAGTACTGGCCCTTCTCCCGCTGCTTGTTGAGCTCCTGCAGAACCCTCACACTGTGCTGAACGAAGGAGCCGTCCATGGTCTGGAGGGGAGAAAGGCAGAAGTGACGACCTGGCCAGGCCACCCGAGGATAAGCAAAACAAAGTCCCTGGATCTGAAAAGAGAGAAAGGTTGGACTCTACTCAATCACGTTTATCAGAATGAGGACTCGGGTCAAGGTTAGAGGATGCAGGCGGAGAACAGGAATGGACTGACAGCCTCCGGGGGGTGGGGCATATTGAACCGGCCGGAGAGCAGCGTGGCTGGGGCGCAAGCGGACTAGCTGGGGGAGGGGGCATAGCAGGGGAGAGGACAGAAGTCAGGAAGGGCGCTGGCAGGAGGAGTCAAAATCCGGTGGGAGGAAAGGAAACAGGGGATGAGCGCGAACTGACTGTCCGGGCACAGCGAGAGGACCCCGGGCACAGGAGGGCGGCGGCCGCGGGCAGATGAGCGGAGCCCACGCCGCGTCCGCGGGTCCCGAGCGGCCGGACAGAACCCCTCCTTCCCACGCCCTGCGCCTTCCTACCTGGGCCGGTCCTCCCTGCTCTGGCCCCAGGGCCGCCGGGACCTGTCGCCTCCACAGCCCGCGGAGCAACTGCCCCGGCCGTACGTGCCCGACCGACCGTGCCGAGACGGCGCCGTCGCCGCCGCCGCGCCGGACGTGACGTCAGAGCGTTCCGGCCAGGAGGGGCGCGTCAGTGACGTAGGCCTTTAGCGCCAGCTCCTGGGGGCGGGACCCCCGAGAACGGCCAATGGGATGTAAGAGAGGCGGGGCCAGGTCCTGTTCTTTCGTTGTTGGGCCAGCTCCCCGGAGTTGCCTAGTAACGACACGCTGGGCGCCGGTTCTCTGCCGCGCTCTGAGCTCGCTCTCGCGCGGGCGACGCCCCGCGCTTTCCCCAGACAGGAAGTGAAGCAGAGACTCGGACGCACATTTCACCGCTTTATTGACAGCCCTGGGCTTGGGCGGGCTCTCCCGCGCGTTTACACATCCCAAGCCAAAGGCCTCCCAACACCCCAGGACCCTCATGGGAGGGGAGGCCTACGGTGCGCCCCGCCCCGGCTTGGCCCTGCCTGGCCCATTGGTCAGGTGGAGCCACCACGCCTCGTGTATTCCTGGATTGAGGCCTGGAAGTGCTCTGTCCTGTTGAGATCGGGGCGGCGAAGGATCACATAGCACTTGGGAAGGAAATAACCGCCGAAGCCACCGCTCAGGCTGCTCAGCACGGCGAACACATTGACAGCGGACAGATACTGGCCCTGGTAGACGCTGGCCACGGTGAAGAAGGAGATCCAGGACACTAGGTTGAGGAGCAGGCTGAAGGTGACACATTTGGCCTCGTTGTAGTTCTCTGGCAGGTCCTTGCCCAGGTAGCTGCAGGCAAAGGCACTGACCGAGAGGAGGCCATTGTAGGCAAAAGCCAGCATGAAGCCCCGTGAGTTGGTCTCTGTGCACTCAAGCACCACCAGCTGGGGGAAGCGCTGGTATTCCCTGGTGGGCAGAGGGGTCCACACCACAAGCCAAGTTAGACAGATAAGCAGCTGGGCCACTGAGCTGATCGTTACACACAGGCCAGCACCATGGTTTCGGACCCAGGCATGGTAGAACGTGGGTACCTTGGTGGAAAACTTGAAGATGATGACCAGTTGGAAGGAGCGAACTGTCAGGCAGGACAGGAAGATGGTGAAACTGAGGGAAAAGAGGGCCTGGCGCAGCAAGCACGTGGGAAGAGTGGGCTCCCCAAAGAAGCCATAGAGACTGCAGCTACCCACTGCCAGGGAGGCCAGCATAAGGAAGCACAGCCTGCCCCCGGCTGACCTCACCACAGGGGTGTCTATGTGCCAAGCAAACAGGCCAGCAGTCCCAACCACTAACAGCAGCAGCAGCGTATTAGCCGCCAACAGCACCCAAGAGATGTGTTCATGCCAAGTCAAAAACACCACGGTGCGCGGGAAGCAGGTCTGGCTTCTCTCAGGTGCCCACTCTTCTTTCCCACAAGGCTGGCAGCTGTAGAGGTCTGAAAGGGAGGGCAAAGAAGGTTGCTGAGATCCAGGTGAGCAGAGTAGGGATGGAGAAGGGATGTGCAGGCCTGCAAGATGCTGGGAGAGCCGTAGGCTCTATGCCTAGCTCTCTAGGCTCTCTAGGCTCTCTGGGCTCTGCCAGGCATAGTGAAAGGGGGGTGGCCTGGAGTTAGTTACAGACTGGAGACACATGGGTAAGTTCTATGCAGGTCATGACCCCAGAAGGGGTTTGCAAACCAAGAGATCCCTAGGGCCTTACACTGGCAGCTGTGCCAACATGCCAGAGAGGCTGTGATCCAATGAGAGCAGCCAGCCCCAAAGGAAGAGCATTTTCGTCTCTCTCTTCAGCACTTCCGCTAACCAAATCCACCTTCCTGAGCTACCACTCTGCTTTTTCTCTGAGTCTTGACTGAGGGCAGAAGAAATGCATTCCCATCCCCACAGAGCTGATGAAAGGAAAGAATGTGACCCCTGGAGTCCAGCTCTGGACTGAGGCCTTAGCTACCTAATTTGCTTTTTTTTTTTTTTCCTTATTGTCTTTTTTCGTGACCGGCAACGGATCGCAACCCTCAGTGTCGCGCCCGTACCGGACCGGGACCGGCCACGGGATCGCAACCCTCGGTGTTGCTCCCATACCTTGCTCAGCCAGTGAGCGGCCGGTCCGTACGCAGAATCCAAACCCTCGGCGGGAGCGCCGCCGCACTTCCAAAGCAGCGCACTGTAGCAGTGCGCCACTGGCCGGCCCCTACCTGTCACCATTA